AGTTTTATCTGGATCCCATGCTCAGAAATCGAGATTCAACATACTGAAAAATCCTGGATACGTCACTGCAAAAAAATATATTTGCATCTTTTATCTCGAATCTTAATGTTTAACAATAGAAAACTAGATGATACACTTCTTACTTTTTCATGAAACCATCTAGAGTCTATTAAATTTCCTCAAAATACTAGTTCGACAATGATAGATCTATGTTATGAGTAAGAAGAAATTGATTTGACTAGATTAGATACTTTTCTATTTGTCATGTTGATTATTTTCATTCATACTTACAACATGAACATGTTCAGGCATTTTTGTTTGTTTCGTCATTTTCTTATACATATAAGTAGACAATTCAACAACACTTATCAAATGACCATGATAAGCACTATATACAAAAGTCTAGTTCTTGCTAAATCATTTTTTTTTTGTTTAACTTACTTATCAAGTACAAGAATATCATGATTTCCTGTGTATTCTCTAGCTAAACGAATTGCTAAATCGTTAGCCTCAGATCTAAACATTGAAGAAACAAAATAGAAATAGCAATGAGAAAAAACGTAAATATTAATTTATTTTACGCTGAATTAGTATAAAAAATTTGTTCAAGACCTTTTGGTAATGTTTTAGCAATTTTTTCAGCAAGAATAACAGTATTATCATGTAAATAACGATTATTTGTTGCACATGCACCCATTTGTCTATAAATTTGTTCATTAACATATGGATGACAATGACCAACTAAAATAAATAAGTAGAAAACAACAAAAACAGAGATAGGACATACCATGTGCAACATTATTAATACAATCTAAATATTTATTGCCTAATTCATCATACATATATGTTCCTTGACAACGAACAATTTTAAGTGGATTTTCACGATAAAAAAGTTCTGTACAAGTTCTATTTAATGAAAATTGATTAAAAAGAAGAAAAAAAAATTTAAACTAAACTTACGGAATATAAATATCACGTAATTTCAAAGTTTTGTCTCTAGGATAGTATTCTTTAAAATCATAGTTCGATTCATCATTTTTATCATCCTTCATAACAGGAGACGTCATTTATTTTAAAATTATATAATCTTAAATGATATATAAAATGTATCATCCTTATGATCGAGACCTATTTTAGTATTTTAAACAAATATACAGCTAATGTTATAAATACTAGTAGTCGAATTAGAAAAACAAATAATAGGAGCGTATGAATCTGTTTTCTACTAGAACAGACATAAAAATGCTACAACGGTAATTTATTATATGTTTCTTTCGTAAATTAAAGAAAAAAAAAGAAGTTCTATAACTAATTTACAAGGTTTGTTATCGGAAGTAACGTGTTAGAAGGGGTTTGGTCTCGACATTGACTCGTTTTAACGCATTTATCTGAAGAAAAAAAAATAAATGAAAATAAGTTTCGTCAACCGTCGTAACGTGTTTATAGGACACTTATCAGAGCCAAATGTACTTTAATATGAAGTGTACACGTATCATATTCTAGGGGAAATTTGCCATATGACATGTATAATATTGTAAGTTTGATTCTGTGACATGAAAAGATATCGTTTTCATGCGCTGAATATTTCTGCAGATTGATTGTTATCAGTCCAATGTAATATCAAATTTCAAAAGAGAAGATTTTCTAAAACAATAAACGTTACTTAACTTTACAGTTAAAAAAGTGGAAATGATCAATTTAATAGAAAAATTTTTATATAATAAACACGATACAAAAAACAAAGTTCGTTCTGTTAGAAGAAAATCTTGTCGTCTTTGATAATTAAAAAAAAAGACAAATCAACATTGTAGCCGATAAATCTAAACACATCGTATTGAATATGGAATAACTGTAAGAACAAAATAATATTCATCATTTCTTTTAATTTTAGTACATATCTAGAAAAAGACCATTTAGATTGTAATAAAAGCGTGTGAATAACGAAAAAAGTATTTCAAATAGTCAAAATAAAACCTAATAGAAAATATAAATTTTTTTAGTTTCTCATTTTTACAATATCAAAAATTATTGTTAGTACGTATTTGGAAAAATTACATTTTGGATAAATTTAGTGATTCATTTCATATTATTTCATACACTTATTATTGGTATAGTAATAAATGTTGAATTTTGTGTCAGAATTGAAAACGGTTACATCTGATGATAA